GTGTTACACAAGATTTTTATTAAGAAAAACATAGTAAATCTATTTTTAGAAAAAAAAATTCAAGGCACAGACCCCATGTGTCCGTTTTTGCCCTGGATTAAATCACGTGTATAATAAATTTTTTTTCTCTAATAAAATTGTCTACTATTTCTCATTTAGCAAAAGCTTCAACGGTTATATTTTAACTTTTGATATCATGAAAAAATGGGTTCGTCTATCAACTATAATTCAGCCTTTTACCCTTTTTAAGGTTTCGCCTTTCGCCAGGATTTCGCCATTTCACCGAGAGTTTTATCTTTCGTCTTTCGCCGGTCTTTCGACATTACGCAAAATAGATTCGGCCAACAATTATGATCACGCTTACGTAAAATTTGTAAACCAAGAAGGAAAACTTGAAGGTATCGTATCAGTAAAAAAGCTTTTAGCAACAATTGATCGAGAAAAATATTGGTTGGTGGAAGTAGAAAGCAACGAAAATCCTCCAATATGTAAACTTGTTGAAAAAAAGCTCGCGTATGAAAAAAAGAAAAAAGCAACTCCAAAATACGATAGTTACAAAAGAATTACAAATGACGTGGAAAGTTGATGACCATGATTTGATGCACAAGGTTAGTAGAGCCAAATCTTGGTTAGCTAAAGGATATCAAGTAGACATAATTATTTCGAATAGAGGGGTACAGAAAAAGAAAAGAACATTGGATAGAACTATTATGGATAAGATATTAAATGAGTTGAAGGATTATTCTAAGGAAATTCAGGAACCAAAGTGGACTGGTGGATCTGTTATTCTGCAGATGACGGGTAAAGGGGTTGATGATGACAAAATAGAATAGGCAGAATAAAATTATAGAATTCCGTGCCTTGAATGATCCAGTTACTCGGATTTAAATTTTTTTTTTTTGTTTTTGTTTTTTATATACTTCTATGAATTTTGATTTAACAAACAAATGTACATAATCGAACAAACTAGTAGTTGATGTAATATAGTAATCAATTGAAAGAGGAGTCTTGAATCGAGATGCCGGTGAAATCAATTCCATCAATTCAACACCAATTTCACCAATAGTGGTGAAATATTTCACCATTCTGGTTTAATTTCACCACTGTCTTTAGTCTTGGACGATCTATTTGACTGAAATATATTGAATCTCCACACAACGATACTCTTTCTTATAATCTAAACCTGCATCGATTTATATTCTACTCATAGCAGTGACAATTCTTATAAAACAATTTATCCAATGAAGAAAGTTGAAACCCATTTTTGAATCATTTAAAACGATAATTTAACTCAAATATACATATTTGTAAGAATTACTACACTTTACTTATACAGGATTACAAACGTTATCTCTATTAATAATACAAAGAAAATAGATTTCCTAATTTGCTGAATACAAAATCCAAACTATATCAACAAAGAGAAGGAAATAGAGAAAATTTCCTTTGATTATGTGATCAGTGACAACCTGCAATTCTATCATCCTCATCTATCCTTGAAAGCGTTTGTTTACCGAAAAAAAAGAATCCAATTCCTGTACCAATAACTACACTAATCATAAGAAATCCATTGTATGTCATGAATATTAACATAATAAAAAAAGATATGAACACTTGAACGGAGTAAATGAGTGACCGGATTAATTGTTGTGATCGTGTCAATCTGTAATATAACATAATTATTCAAGTGTAAATAACATTAATTCGAAAAGAAAAAACTTATCAATAAGGTTACCTGATAGAACGTTTCACAGAATTGGGTGTATTTTCTTCCTCATTATCGTTATTACTAATTTGACGGTAACCTGCCTCGCATATTTTTTCATCATATTTTCTTGACCAATATCTTAAAATCTCATAGAAAGCACCAAGTGCACCAACAATGACACAAGATAGAAGCAGCAATGTAATTCCGTTTACTTTCCACCAAGAAAATACGATACAAAGATTTGTATAATCCCAGTTGAAAAGCATCTAATTAAATAATTTTTTTTTATAATTATTTCGATCAAATGTTAGAATTGTTGTATCAATTGTTTACCTTCATCGAGCATTTAAATCCATGGTCTCCATGATCCATTTTAATAATTAGACCTTCCAAAAGCAATTCGAGCAAAATTTCAATAACGCACTCTTAAGAAAGGCTGTTATTTCAAGAAAATACCTGAATCTATTATTATTTATATTTACATAAAAACTTTGTGTTGTGTGATACATTACTTTGCCTTGCTTTAGCCACATATAGCTGCGAATGGTAGGAAATCAGCAAATTCTGTTAATTATGTTTGCCAATGAAATGAAATCTGTAAGTTACCTTATTGTTAGCGCCATCGGAGATTAAATCCATGAATAGATTAGTGGGTACACAATATGTCAAATTTCGAACTTCGACGACTCCAGGGCGGCCCCCACAAAGTTCGGGTTGCGGCAATATAGGCTAACTTTCTCGTGATTGGCCAATTTTTTTCAATTGAATTTATACAGTTTAAAGTACTTTTACCCCCT